AAAAAAAAAAAAAAAAAAAAAAAGAAAAGAAAAAAGAAAAAAAGAAAAAGGAAAAAAATCATTTGACCATATACATGAGGTTTTATTTCTGGGCTCTCTCTTCTATTTCATTGGTCTATATGTCTTCCTTATGCTAGTACAACACTTTTGATTACTGTAGTTTTGTAGTAAGTTTTAAAATCAGAAGAGGTGAGTCTTCAAGCTTTGTTCTTCTGTTTCAAGACTGTATTGTATTGACTATTTGAGCTCCCTTCAGATTCCACATGAATTTAAGGATATGCTTTTCTATTTCTATAATCCCAGCACAGTGGGAGGCCAAGGTGGGAGGATTGCTTGAGGCCAGGAGTTCAAGACCAGTCAGAGTAACATGGTGCGACCCTGTCTCTGTAATCCCAGCTACTTGGGAGGCCTAGGAGGGAGGATCCCTTGAGTCCTTGAGATGGAGGCTACAATGGGCTATGATTGCGCCACTATATTCCAGCCTGGATAACAGAGTGAGACCCCATCTCTTTGGGGATAAATTTATTGGTCCACAAATCCGGTTGACATGTGAAAATGCATGTTCCTGTTACAGATTAAAAATGACTTAGGCTCAGTACAATACAGTTCTTCAAACACAAGTCTTGGTTAAGAAACAGAAATTGAAGAGGAATCAAGAAACAGAGACAAGCCAAGTTCTCCCTCAACCGAGCTGCTGGAAAAACACCATCTCCAGATTTTCTTTCAGGCTTTGAGAATTTTTCTCCCATTCCACACTTTTATCTTGATACTGATATCACTGTGGCGCAGAAGGGCTCCCCAGCTTCTCTTCCTTGAATCCTCCTCCTCCTCTCCTCCTCTTTCTCTGTCTCCCTCAGTCAGCCAGGCGCTTGCAGAAGCGGCAGGGCCCGGCCCAACCTGAAAGAGAACAGAGCTGGAGGGGGTGGTGGCGGTGACCAGCGGCCACGTGACCACACTCGTGCTGTAGCTGCAGCCACCTCCTGCCGCAGACCTACTCTTAAAAAAATTGATAAACTATGCACTTCAGAGAGAAGAAAAAGATATAAGAAGGAAATTTCAGACATCAGGAATAAAGAGACAGCAACAGAAATGATAACTATCTGGTTAAATATAATAGGCTATTCTTTTCCTTAAAATATGATTGATGGTTGAAAAAAATTATGTCTGATGGAGTATATAATGTATGTAAATATAAAATATCAGACAACAATAAATATGGTGCAGGGGAAAGGTTGATAAGGTTTCTACATGCCAAATGAAGCAGTAAAACAATGAAATGACCCAAAATAGACAATGCAAAGTATGTATTTTATAATTCCTAGAGCAACCACTAAAAAATTATACAAAAAGATATAGTTGAAATCATAGTATATAAAATAGAATACTAAATAATGTTCAAATAGTCAAATGAAAGCAGGAAAGGGGAAACATAAACATGGAGCAGCTAGCTTTCTCACCTCATAGTGGTGGGACTGGAAAATGCTTTTGGAAAACTGTCAGTTTCTTAAAATGTAAAGGATATATCTAGTAGCTCCACTGTTAGGTATCAACTTAAGAGAAATAAAAGCATATGTTCATACAATGACTCATACGTGAGTTTTCAGAGCAGCTGTAAATATATTAGTCCTGAACCGGAAACAACTCAGATGCCCATCGACAAGTGACTAGATAAACTATGGTATATCTGCACAGTGGGATACTCCACAGCAATAAAAAGGAATTGATACAAGCAATAACATGGATAAATTTCAAAATAATGTAATTATGCTGAGTGAAAGAAGCCAGACAAAAAAGATTCCATTTATATAAAATTCTAAATATGCAAACTATAGTGACCTAAAGCAGATTAGTGGTTTCTAGAGAAGGAAGAGGGTAAAGCAGAGAAAGAAGGGAGAGAAGGATTATAAAGGACTGTGAAAAAATTTTTAGGGTTATGGATGTTCTCTTGATTATGGTAATGGTTTCAAAAGTAAATATATGTCAAAATTCATCAAATTGTATATTCTCATTTAATGTGCAGTATATCATATGTCAATTATACCTCAATAAAGTTGTAAAATTTTTTTAGAGGGTGTAAATTGTGAACACTGCATATCAGTGTTCATGCTTTTGCCCTTATGTGATGACAAGGAAGAACAGTAGACATCTCCTATGAATAAAATGGAACTATACAGTTGTTCAATTAAGCAAAAACATCACTTAATGATGGAAATATTTTTTAAAAAATTTTAGGCTGCATGGTAGCTTGCACATAAAATCCCTGCACTTTAGGAGGCAAAGGCAGGAGGATCACTTAGCCCAGGCGTTTAAGACCAGAATGGGAAACACAGGGAGACCCCATTTCTACAAAAAATTTAAAAATTAGCTAGGTGTGTGGGCACGTGCCTGTGGTCCCAGCTACTTAGAAGGATGAGATGGGAGGATCATTTGAGCCTGGAAAGTCGAGGCTGCAGTGAGCTGTAATTGCACCACTGCATTCCAGCCAGGGTGACAGAACAAGACCCTGTCTCAAAAAAAAAAAAAAAATTATACTTTGTCTTAAACATATAAGCAATCCTCACTTGGCTCAGTCTGGTATGAATTTCAGTTACCACAGTTTGTTAACTGTGAGAAATAGCATAAAAGTTTGCTACTAGCTTTTCAGTCCACAAATAATTACATAAATAACATTTCTGTAATTACATAAATGAATCAAAATTAGTGACCAATTTGCAATTTTACTTCTTTCAAAGTCTGTGGGTGATTGGTCACTGTGCATCTGTTATTAAGTTCACACACAGGCTGCAAAGCACGTAGGTTTGTTATTAATATTTCTGTGCCCTTAAGATAAGCCCACGTGGATTTTTACTGATTAAAAGAGGAAATTGGCCAAAAGAATGAAAATGCATTAAAAGAGTGATAATACTAGAAGTGAAACTTGCATTAAACATAAAATGGAGCAAATGAAAAAAATAGCTGCCTGTGGGAACATGCTGATTGTGGGAACAATGACACTGCCACCATTTGAGACATTCTAGATACGCAGACTGAGGAAATCAGTGAAGGTGAACTTACAGACATAAATGAGGAAAAGTGGTTGTGATGAAAGGCTGATGATGTGTCAGAGGAAGTGACACTGGCAAAACAACACATTAAAGGAACTCTCAGAGATATTTCACAACACTGAAAACGTAACAGATAAAATGTTGGAAACTAATATTTAAATTTCTCCGGAACGCAGAACTCATAGGCAACTGTGTTCTCCACCGCCCAAGTAAATATCTTCAAAGGTTCCTCAATTAACGTGGGCAAAATTAAAAGTAAAACTTGCTTCTTCCCTTTGGAAAACCCTCTCTCAGAGTATATTACCAACATTCAACTTCTTATACAAGACATAAATCTGGGAATCATTAATCATTCTTCCCTTTTCGTCATTCATGTATCCAATCAATTTCCATGGACTGCTGATTCTATTTCTTAGACGTTTTTCAAATGTCTCCACTATCTTTATTCTACTTGGGAACTCTGTGGCCCAGGCTTCCATCAACTCTCTCCCGGACAAGTGTAATCACAACAGTTACCTAACTTGGCTACCACTGTTGTTCTCAGTTGCAACCCATTCTCCAAGCAGAAAACAAAATTCAACAGCTGTTACCTTATTCTCATCTTCACACCTCTACGCAAGTACACATGGCTCTTCCTCATCCAGTTTCTGTCTACTTCATCTCTTGTCAATGGTCCCTACCCCAATTCTCCGCTCTAGTCATTCTGAACTTTGTTCAATTCCTGGCCTCTGGCCTCTGCCTTTTTAATAGGCTGCCTGACACACTGTAGGAACTCACTAAATATGCAGACTGAATGAACGAGTACTTGGAGGGCAGTTATTCTTACCAGTAACAAGAGAGAAGGAATACAGTACAACGAAGTATCCTTATTTAGGTTTATAGTATCTTCATCTGAGCCCGCAGGTGAACCCCCCCCACCCCCGCCCCGCGCCGCCCCTCGCCTGCAAGTTGTTACCAGTAAATAAAAGGGATCCTATTTTCGCAAGCCACACCGCATTAGAGGGTAAATAAGAGTTTGGTGGCAGGAGAGCGATGAGACGGGAAAGTGTGGGGCAAAGTTTACAGTTATTGGTCCAGATTCTAACTGGCCTGTTAGTCAAAAAGTAAGGTTTTCTTTACCTCCGTGTTGACTCTGCTCTCCGAAGGCGAAGAGGGTCCTCCAAACCCGTTTGTCGCGCGGACAAAAACCCCAGCATAGCGTGTCCTCACACCGGCTGGAGTACTGGACGTCGCCATGACAGAACTCAGGGGCGGGACTGGAACAGCAGAGTCTCCCATTGGTCAGGCGGTGATATATCCGGCCAATGGTGAGCGCCGTTACTAGAAGGGCTCCAGGATGGAGGCCGGCCTGACCTCTCCGCCTCAGTGGGCTGGGTTGGGTGCTGGAGCATTGCTCCTACTGCGGATCCTGCTGCTGGCAGCGCTGGAAACTGGGTGGACGGCATGGGTTGGTCTCAGGATTTGTTCCGCGCCTTGTGGAGATCGCTGTCAAGGGAAGTGAAGGAGCACGTGGGCACGGACCAATTCGGGAACAAATACTACTGCATCCCGCAGTACAAGAACTGGAGAGGTGAGGAGGGGGCGAGGGCAGCGATTGCGTGGTCAGTAAAGGAGGGAAAAGTGAGAGCCCCTAGTCAACTAACGCATCATGAGACACTTAGGGTGTCACCGGAGGGAATTTCTGGAGTTCGCTGGCCCCTGTCGACCCCTTCACTCTGCCATCGGAGCCCTACCCGGCCCGGCTCTGGGCGCCTTGGCCCGGCCTCGTGCGTCCGCGGTCCCTACGACCCAGCGCTTTCCCCCGGCGTGCCCCGGGCTGCTCGCGCTGTTAAGGCACACATCACTTTCCTCCCAGCCACGCCGGTAGAGGAGCCTCAGTTTTAGCTCTGGATCGGCGACGGAGGCGGGGAAAAGTCCACGCAAATCTTTCACCAAAGGGGCTAGGAAGGGCCAGGGAAGAGGTTTTTCGTACGCTGTGCCCCGCCTTGTGACCCAGAGCTGAGTGGTGTAATTGAAGAGGAGTATCTTCAGGGCCTCGGGTGTCCTCTTTCTTGGTGTTTACCCTTTTCGGTGGCACCCTGGCTCCGGCGCTGGCCCCATGCGCCTTCCTCACTACCAAGACTTGTCAGAAGTGGGTCCGTATCCCCATAAGGCTCGCTGATTCCTTTCTCTGGAGTTTACATTCCAAGACCCCATTGAGTTCAATTTAAGAAACTTGGCACTAATCATGGTGTTTCTGTGTAGGATTCGTGCCAAGTAGTTGAGCGGGTTGTTTGGGGACTAAGGAGGCGTTGCTGTCCATTGAAATCACACTGTGTAGCCGCCGTCGTAACCTCTTCTCTGTTGTTCCATCGCCGCATGCAGAAGATGTCAGGCTTTGGGCGAAAAGGGGTGGGTTAGAATCTCAGCTTTGACACCTGATAGCTCGAGAATCACGGAAAAAGTACTTGTCCTCTCCAAGTCTCATCATCCTCACTTGAAAATTAGAGATAATATAAGATCAGTAATGTTGAGAAGCACTAAGACCTTTCCAAAATTATGTGCCATTCATTTCCCACATATATAAAATGTATTCTATGATTTATCACTCAATTTATTAATTTATTTTTTTTGCCTAGCCTTTTTCTGTAACTTATTTTAATATTTAGTCTTGTTTCCCCAATGAGCTCCTTTGTCAGGCAGGGAATATGTCTCTCACACACACACACAAAAAGCCTACAAATAACCTAGCATGGTGTTAAGTATTTCTTGACAGATTGCAAGCAGAGAGATGTTTCTTTTCCATAAGTTGTCAGTAAAATTAAAAAAATATGCAAACTGTCACATTGAGTTTTTTAAAAATCGAAATATAATTTACATACAGTAACATTCACCCTTTATGGTGTACAGTTTTATGGTTTTTGACAAATAAGTACAGAGTAATATCACTGGATTCAAGTAATAGAATAATTCCATCGCCATCAGAATTTCCTCTAACTCCTTAGTAGTTCATTCCCACACCCTTTGGCAACCACCGATGTGTTTTATGGGCCTATAGTTTTGCCTTTTCTGGAATATCATATAAATGGAATTATACAGGATTTAGACTTTTGAGCCTGGCTTGCTTCACATAGCATAATGTAGTTGAGATTCATCCATGCTTCAGTAGTTGTTCCTTTTTATTGCTCAGTAGTATTCCATTGTATAGGTTTGCCAGTTTATCTGTTCACAAGCTGAAGGACATTAGGATGTTTCCAGTTTCTGTGATTGTGACAAAAGCCTCTACAAACATTCCCATACAGGATTTTGTGTGAACGTAAGTTTTCATATCTCTTGGGTAAATACCTCGTGGTGGGATTACTGAGTTGTGTGATCAGTGTATGATTAACTTTATGAGAATCTACCAAACTGTTTTTCAAAGTGGTTGTACCATTTTGTATTCCTGTCAGCAATGCATTAAAATTCTAGTTGTTTCCATACCCTCACCAGCACTTAGTATTATCTGATTTTTGGGTGTGTTTTTATTTTTATTTTAGCCATTTTGATAGGTGTATAGTGGTATCTCATTGTGATTTTAAGTTTCATTTTCCTAATGCCTGAGTATGTTGACAGTCTTTTCATGTGCTTATTTGCTATCTACAGATCTTTGGTGAAGTATCGTTCAAATCTTTTGCCCATTAAAAAATACATTTAGGACTGGGTGCGGTGGCTTTTGCCTGTAATCCCAGCACTCTGGGAGGCCAAGGGTGGATCACCTGAGGTCAGGAGTTCCAGACCAGTCTGGCCAACATGGTGAAACCCCATCTCTACTAAAAATACAAAAATTAGGCAGGCATGGTGACATGCGGGTGTAATCCCCACTACTCGGGAGGCTGAGGCAGGAGAATCACTTGAACCTGGGAGGCGGAGGTTGCAGTGAGCTGATTTCACACCAGTGCACTCCATCCAGCCTGGGTGACAGAGTGAGACTCCATCTCAAAAAAAAAGAAAAAACCAAAAACCCCAAAAAACAACAAAAAAATACATTTATACCAATGTTTGTATCATTCATTTCTATAGAGATACAATATCATTGAAGTTTCAAATTAACAGTCATGTCTATTCTAAAATAACATGAATATTTTATTTTTACATATTCTCACTCATTTGTATATTTTCTTACATAATTGCAATTGCATTTTGAGAGTTTTGTTGAAGTAGAATTGACAAAAAAATGGCCAATGCTCCAAATGTATGATTTGGTAAGTTGACATATGTAGTATCTGTGAAACCGTCAACACAGTCAAGAAAATTGGCTGGGCGCGGTGGCTCACGCCTGTAATCCCAGCACTTAGGGAGGCCAAGGCAGGTGAATCACGAGGTCAGGAGATCCAGACCATCCTGGCTAACACGGTGAAACCCTGTCTCTACTGAAAATACAAAAAATTAGCCGGGTGAGTTGGCCAGCGCATGTAGTCCCAGCTACTCGGGAGGTGGAGCTTGCAGTGAGCCGAGATGGCGCCACTGCACTCCTGTCTGGGCGACAGAGTGAGACTCCATCTCAAAAAAAAAAAAAAAAAAAAAAAAAAATAGCATATCCACTATCCACAATTTGTTGTGTGTGCCCTTTTCTAGTCCTGCCTTATGCTTCTGCTTCCATGGACAGGCACTAATCTGATTTCTGACACTATACATTAGTTTGTATTTTTTAGAATTTTTATTTATTTGTTTTTATTTATTTATTTTGAGATGGAGTCTCACCCTGTCACCCAGGCTGGAGTTCAGTGGCGTGATCTTGGCTTACTGCAACCTCTGCCTCCCAGGTTCAAGTGATTCTCCTGCCTCAGCCTCCCGAGTAGCTGAGATTACAGATGCGTGCCACCCTGCCCAGCTAACTTTTTGTATCTTTAGTAAAGACGGGGTTTCACCATGTTGGTCAGGCTGCTCTTGAACTCCTGACTTTGTGATCCGCCTGCCTTGGTCTCCCAAAGTGCTGGGATTACAGGTGTGAGACACCGCGCCTGGCTAGAATTTTATTTAAATGGAAGCCTACAGCACATATTCTGCTTTTCTTTTTTTATTTTTTTAGTTTCTTCACTCAGCATAATTATTTTGAGATTCATCCATGTTTTTGTGTTTATCAGTAGTTTATTTCTTTTTATTGCTGAGTAATATTCCATTGTATGTATATACCATAATTTGTTTATCCATTCACCTGTTCATAGATATTTGGGTTGTTTCTAGTTATGGGTTATTAGAAATAAATTATGAACATTCATGTGTAAGTCTTTGTATGGACATATGCTTTTATTTCTTTTGATGTAATATTTAGAAATGGAATGGCTGAGTCAACTTGTTAGGTGTATGTTTAACTTCTTAAGAAACTATCTAAGTGGTGGTACCGTTTTACCTCCCCACCAGGAGTGTGTGAGATTTCTAGTTGTCCTACATCCTTATCAACACTTGGTATGGTCAGTCTTTTTAATTTTAGTTCTTCTAGTAGGTGGTTGTGGTATCTCATTTTTTTTTCTTTAGTTTTTCTGTTTGCTATTAGTTGGTTTTTTTAGATTCTATTTTTAAATTAAAATAGAGTAAAATTAACTTTTAAAATTGGTGTACAGTTCTTTAAATTTGAACACATGTGATTCATATAACCACCACCAAAATCAGGATACAGAGCAGTTCTGTCACCCTGAATAACTCCCTCATGCTAACTTTTTGTAGTCACAATCTTTCCTCATCCCTGACCTCAGCAACCACTGATTTGTTCTCTGCCATTATACATTTTTCCTTTTGAGACTGTCCCACATGTATACTTATACCATATGTAACCTTTTGAACCTGGCTTCTTCTATTCAGCATAATGCCTTTGAGATTCTTTACGTGTATCAGTAGTTTGCTCCTTTTTGCTGCTGATTAGTATTCCATGTTAATGGATATACCACAGTTTGTTCATTGTACTCATTGAAGGGCATTTGAGTTTAGTTACTTGCAGTTTTTGGTGATTATGAATACAGCTGCAAGAAACATTCACGTATGGATTTTGTGTGGACATAAGTTTTCATTTTCCATGAGTACATACATACCTAAGAGTGTGTGTGCTAGACCATAGCAGCTCCAGCTTACTCTATAAAACGGAAATAACAGTACCTACCTAGCCTCACAAAGTGTTTTTGCTACTCAAGAGAGACAAATTGGATAATGTAGCACTTAAGAGAATGGGATTTAATGTCAAAGCCAGTTTGACTTAATTCATAGAGATCTTTTACTTGATCATTTTTAAAAATTTATCACTGATTTGTAGTTTTCA